GAAGATGGTTTCTAGAAGGACCACTAATATGTTTGTAGCAAATCAATCCTAATTTCTTTAAGCACTCTGACTTCTAAATTTTATTTGATCCCCTAGTTCAGACTCTTTCACTAGCAACACCACCAGGCAGGTAGAGATGAAGTGGAAAGAAATCTGAAAGGTAGCCTTCGTAGGACATAAAGTTATATTCACATGAATATATGATATTCAAAGAATTTAATTTATATATCAATACAAACGATGATTTTAGCCTAGGGGTACATGGTCATTAAACTCTTATGTTAAACTTGCTTCCTGCAATTAAAATCTGAATTAGTCAATCCCTACCAAACAATCTAACCAGAGCAAACATGGTGAGCTATGCTTCCATCCCAACAGACTTAACTTCAAATTATCCAGAAAAATGGATAACCAAAACAAGATCAGAAAGTCCTTACCGTTAAATTCCACGGTCTCTCTGGTTCCACGCAAAGAAGATCAAAAAGAACTCCAGTCGGTATATACCTGCACAAGGCATGGAAACCAAAAACCATCAGTGTAATGCGAGAATTGAAAACCAGCGCCAGAATGAATTGTATTGCAATCGCACCACTTGAGAGGGAGGCCTTTGTAATCAAACCAAACAGTGTCGAGTCCAGGGGGGAGCGTACTGCTGAAGTGAGGCTTTAGCAGCGAAATCAACAGAGGCAAGTAGCCTATCCGAGGGGCCAACACCTGGAAACGAAAACGAAATGGAAATTAATTGAGTGAGATGAAAAACCCTACCAAAAAAATAAGACAGTGGCGTGAGAAGAATACCAGAGCGGGTGGAGGAGGAGGGAGAGTGGTGATTTCAGATTCGTGGAGGTGAATCTGCAGAGGAACGGCACCCTCCCACACGTTCTTCTGCGTCTCGCTCATCTCTTCCAGATCTCTTTCTATTTCTCTCTCACTCTCTGTATCTGCACTTTTAACTTCATTAACTCTACTTCTACCACTTTGATGAAATCGCTTCAAGTTGCTTCTTCCCCTTGTTTATTTTTCAACTATTTCTCTCTCTTCTATCATCTTTTAAAACAATTTAAAAAAAATATTTTAATGTTATATTATCATCCAATTACAAATTATTATTTATAATAAATTTATATTGATTACTTGTAATAAGATGTAATGGATAAAATGACATACAAAATATTATAATTTTATATAAAACATATAACATGGGATAGAAAATTGTAATTCTTACTGAACCTATAGTTATAATATTTTTTTAAATCTGATAAATAAATGTTTAGAACTTCGTTGGTGACCATCTTCCAGCAAATACTTATTGGATAAAGTCATTGAGTCAAACAAAGATATAAACTGAATAGTTTAATACTCATGAACGTAGTCCTTATTCACTTTATTTTTCATTCTTAATCACTATTTCTTTTAATAAACTGCCTTGAACTTAATTATATATTTTGTCACATAATTAATATCTTAATAATATTGGTAATAAAATGACTGTTATTTTGTAAAATAAAAAATTTGTTTTGTATTATATCTTAACACTTGTTACATGTTTAATAAATTGGTGAAACATGCAAAAGTTATTTATTTATATATATATATATATATAATCATACAATATGTAGAAATATAATACTAATAGGAACAAACGTGAACTAAATGATAAATTATGTAAAAAATGTACAGATTAAATAAAAAAAATTAAAATTTAAACATTACTCGTAACAAAATAGACGTATTCCTTATTTTGAAGTCATTTTATTAATATTGATTAATAATTTTAAATAATATATTATTAATAATATAAAATTAACATATTAAAATTAAAAATATATAATTAGATATATTTAATGATAATTCAATTTAAAAGTTAAAATCATATTGTTCCAAAAATTTAGGATTGTGTTTCCTCAATAAGTTCTGTCAGTAAAAATCATATTATATATATAAACTGTATATTATAACACATGATTTAAAAAAAAATTTAGTATTTCAATGAATTACAACGAAGAACAAATTTGTTATAGTTTATGATTAATAGAAAATATATTTTATAAGGATTATCATACTTAAACACTTCTTTTAAGTATTTACATATATACTGTTTATTATTAAAATACTTTATTGCTAAATCTCGATGAGAACCCAACATTTTAGTTATTAGACAGTGAAAATCTATTAAAGGAATGAAATTAAAATATTTATCGTACATTGATAGGGTGACTTTTTTTTATTATTATTAGATAAACTCAAAGATTTATTATAATGGCTTATTTATTGTATCTTATTTCTGTCTATTAATAAAATATTTTATTAAACTAATTAATTTAAAAAATATAGTAATGTAATATTTATATCCAAATCAACCATAAAACCAGCAATAAAATTATATATAGTTATGAATAATATATTTTATAGTCTGATAATATATGAAACTAATAATATAAATCAATATATAAAAACATTACATTCTTGCAAATTTTTTAAAAAATTGAAGAATTTAATTTCATCTTAAAAAAATTATATTGATATGTTTTTAAAATCAAATAGAACTTTTTATTTATTTATAAAATGATTACATTAAATGAAATAAATAAATAATATGATTAAGTATTTTTTTTACTTATATAGTTTATTAGTATTTTGCATATGGATATTAAATGATTATTCAATGTCATCCAATCTTCTCAAATTTATTTATAATATATAATTTAAAAAAAATCTATTATGATTCAGTAGAAAAATAAGTAAAATATATCTAGTGAAAAAAACGTTTAATAAATATTAGACTCGGATGTTAAGATTATTCAATCATTCAACACATCAATTACTTAATATAAACTCTTTGATTTAAAATAAAATATCTTATAATTTGAAAATAAGGATTAACATTGAGATTATAAATTGATATGAACTTAAAAAATGTATTCATTGTGTGGTTTATTAATATTATTTATTTTATTTTATTTTACTTTTTTTCTGTAGTGTATTTATTTAAAAATTTCTTTATGCTTATTTATTTTTAATGGAAATTTATGTGTAAAAAAAATGGAATTCATACAATAAAAAAAAAAGCGTGTTTATATTTGAAATTCAATAAATATCATAAAGAACACATGCAACAAGTGCTGTAAATGGCATTGAACAAAATTTGTTAACCTATTAAGTTGAATAAGGATCATGATAAAAAAAAAAAAATCTTTCAGTAAATCTTCTATCACTTTTATGTAACCAACAGGGGATTATAGCTTGTGGTTAGAGCAAGAAAATGAATGTTATTTTTTATGTCAACCTTCAAGTTTTTTAATGTCTTTATATGAGATCTGAAAAAAGAAATTATATATAGTGAGACATAAAAATGTATTTGAGGTATAAAAATAACTTGAATAAAAGTTGTTTATAACTTTTATGATGAAACTATGAGTTATTTTTTATGTTTGGAAGAGTTTAAAATAAATTTAAAAATATTATTTTTCATTAGTAATATGAAATCTGTGTTTCAAACCTACATTAAGTTGTATAATATATCAACACTGAGTTTATGTGTTTGAAAAATCAAAGATGAAATTATTTTTCATGATAATACCAAATTGATAATCCCATGTTTTGTATGTGATTTTGGCCATTCAATTGACCTAGACTACAGTACTCTTTTGGGTTCTTATCTTCTTCTAACGCCAAAGAGCTCATATTTGTGGGTTTAAATAGTCCTTACGGTCTATTTTAAGAAATCACTAATTAAAAGAATAAATAAACGGAAACAACAATATAAAAAAAAAAAAAGAAGAAGCAAATTATCATCTTCATTTCTCTTTCCTGTTGAATAATATTATTGATATGCTAAAATTTACTATTGTCCCATTTTCTTAACATTATTTAAGATTTTAAAAAACTTTAATCTTAACAACTAAATAATCAATTTTAAATTCATTAATTATCATTACAGCTATCTCAATTTCAAGAACTGTTATTGATAATATTACTTCCATCTTGATAATTATTGCATGGTTACTATTTTGCTTTTAAAATTTATATAGGTTATGTCATACATTTGTTACCCATATTAGCATTTAAAAAGTTATCTCAATCACAATTTTTTTTAATGTATTAAAATAATCATTTAATGAGTAGCGTGCTATCATTTGTTAAGTATTTCACTCTCAATTTTCTAATCTCTCATTGCATAATCCTTTAGATACAAATTAATTACAAAAGAAATATTTTAAATAAAACCGTCAAGAAATACTTATACAAAAACATTTTAATATGGCTAATAAACTGCATATATATATATATATATATATATATATATATATATATATATATATATATATATTCTATGGCTAAGCTTTTATTGTTTGAAAATAATCCCAAAAGTGGTATTCAATATCAAGGTGAAAAATATACCATCAATTTGTTAATTTTTATAATAATGATAGTTATGTTAATATAATCTCCCTAAGATAATATCAGAGCATATAAAAATTAAATTCTAAAAATATGTAGTTAATTTAATACACATATTAAGTGCTTGAGAAATGCTTTTCATCCTTGTCGTACTGGCAGAGGCAGTGGCACCAGGAATACCTTGCAATGCGAAACGATCACTCATGGACAAAAATCCAGATGCAAGCAAAATGGCACACAACACTCACAATCATTGGCACCAGTTTTTGAATCCGACGGTACTGTGTCGTTGTTGTTGTTGGTGTATGTAAGCAATTCCAATTACCCATGTTCAGATTTCACTCCTTCTCGAATTGAACATCGCTTTTGCTGTTATCCCGTTCCCATCAAAATATCACCTTCAAATTCTTCAATCCCAAGTCATTCACAAACCCCTCCCCCCACACCAACTTTCTCTCCGACCCTTTTCCCAAGTCGGAGAAAATTTTTGTTTTTTCCTCAGATCTCGAGTTTCCCCTTCGGTTCCCTTTACGGGTCGCTCCAAAATCCAAAACCCCATATGTGAGTTTCAGAGGGATCTGGGAACAATAAAGGGGGCAATGTTAGGTGCGGTGCAGTTGGGGCTGTTAGCGGCGTGTGTGGTTCTCTTTGTGCCTATGGGTATGGCGGGGTGGCACTTGAGCCGCAACAAGGTTCTCTTCTTCAGTGGTGCACTTTTCATCACTCTCGCTGTTGGGGTTCACCTCACACCTTATTTCCCTTCGGTTTCTGATTTCGTATCATCGGTTCACTCTTCTTCTGTTAACGTTGTCGTGGACGATCGCGATTCGTGTGTTTCGATGCTTCATGAAATTGTCTGGGAGGTGAGGCCGAGGGTGTTTGACTCTGACCCTTTGAATAACAATTCCTTGAATTACGAAAAGTCTTGGTCGTGGAAGAGATCGGGTTCTGTTGAGTCGTGTGAGTTCGAGAGGCTCACACGGCACGACGTTTCGGTTTTGCTTAATGGGTCTTGGGTTGTGGTGGCGGGGGATTCGCAAGCTCGAATCTTCGCGCTTTCGTTGTTGAGTTTGGTTCTGGACTCGGAAGGTATGGAGTCTGTTAAAGGTTCTCTGTTCAAGCGGCATAGTGACTATCACACTGTGGTGGATGAGATGGGGATGAAGTTGGATTTCATGTGGGCACCTTATGTCACCAATTTGACAGGTTTGGTTGCCGAGTTCAAGAGGAATCGCGTTTATCCTGATCTTTTGGTGATGAGTTCTGGATTGTGGCACATGCTGCACTTCACGAATGCTTCGGATTATGGTACGTCTCTGGGAGTTTTGAGGAGTTTGGTGACTTCACTGTTGCCTGTGTCCTCCGAAATTGACAATGATGAGGGTGTGGCGAGTTCTGTGGCGATTAGATCGCCACACCTGTTTTGGCTGGGGATGCCAACTTTGGTGAACTCCATGTTGAATACAAAGGAGAAGAGGGAGAAGATGAATGATCTAGTGTGGGGAGAATATGAGAGAGAGATTAAGGGAAGTGGCATGTTGAGGCAGTTTGGGGGTCCACTTCAACTACTGGATATTGGGTCATTGAGTTGGAATTGTGGGATCAGGTGTACAGATGATGGGATGCATTATCATGGGGTAGTTTATGAGGCTGGGGTTCACATTATGTTGAATGCATTGCTTATTGAATCTCATCAGAAGGTATGAAGTTTAGCATTGGCTTGGTTCCCTTAGATGTGATCATCTCAGCTACCTCTGGCGGTGTATACGGTAGGATTCTCCAACGATTTTGATTAATAGAAATCGAGTTGTTCCACCATAGCTGGCGAATTTTTGCCTGATTTCTTCTGAGGCAATAGATCCAATTAGTTTTAGAGTGATTATTATTATAGTAAACCACATTTGAAATTCTTTTTTGTTTGTCTTTCTTTTTCCTGTTTCATTGTATGCTAACAGCTAATGTATTAGTCACAAAACAAATATTGGATTCTCAAGTTTCTGTACAAACAGTTCACACACGCTTTTAACCACAATTTAATTGGGATTCTTTTCTGTGTTCTTTATATAAATGTCCTTTAAGCTGGCTAGAATGTAGTGAGATGTTGATGTGTCTTCTGTTTGTTACTCTCTTTTTTTTCTAACTCATTTTTTCTAAGATGTGTTGTTGTGGAGCAGATTAACTGATTGTTGAGATCAACCATGAAACCATTGTTTGATTTCTTCATGTATTGGTATAATTAACAGGATGCCGTTTAATGCTTTTCTTTTTTGTTTGGCAGACAAAATCTGTTGACATAAGTAGATCACCTCAGGTCTTAACAGGTCCGTGTTTCATTTGGCACAAGTTTAGATTGATGGTATCAATCATCATTATTGGAAGCTCTTTACCCTTTTGTTGCCCGCGTGTATAATTACCAATGGGCGATATTATTTGTTAAAATTAAAACTCAAATGATCATTCATTTGTTTATTAAGGTATCATACAACAAAAGATTCAATTATGCATTTTAAGGCAAGTCGGAAACTAACTAACCTGTTTAACATGAATAGAACTTCTAGATGGCGTAGGCCTATCATAGAGCGCAGAACAGTTTACTCATTTGTCTTTGAGGGGAGGAAAAACTTGAACAGGTGTTGATTAGGCGAACCCCGTTTCTGAATTCAGCTGGGTTAAAAAAAAGACAGAGTAATGCTAGGTAGGTGTGAAAAACAAAGCATTGAGAACGTAGCGTGAGCAAATACATAAAAAAAGTATTCCACAAAAGATCTCATAAAAATTATGCATACACATCTTCTGTTGCAGGAAAAATCAATCTAATGAACCTTTAGGGGGATTGGGTGACTAGTGAAATTTAAGACAACTTGTAAGTGAAGTTAGTAGGATAATACGTCTTATGAGAGAGCCTTCAAAAAATTACATAGCAAGTCTTCTTTGTCGTTGACCAAGAAGGCATGTATATATATTTATATTATTTTTTTCATACAAAACTTCCTAAAATAATAAATGGAAAGGTACAGTGTCATATTGACAACCTTGCAAACCACCAAACCATTTGCTATCTACACAGTCCTCTACAAAACCAAAAGAATCAGAATGTAGAAAGAAAACCATTATCGGGGTAAAATTTTTTTGGGGAAGGAGAACTGTCCTTGAAATTCATTGAGCTTTCAATTTCAAGTCTCAAATTGCTTGCCTTCAAAGGTTTGTCCAAAAGTCCAATCCTTGGGAGCAACACTGTAAGACGTAACTGTTTTCCCATCACTTGCAGTAACTTCGAACGAAAGAGGTTGATTCTGCAGCAATGCATTTACATGCCAAATTTGCCCCCAATTCCGACCCATGGGAAGCCAACCAGTTCTTGACCCTTTCACCTTCACTGCCACAATGTCTCCATGGCCAGCAACATTGCTGATCAGCACCGAAATGAAGATTCCAGAACCAGTAACAGTAAATCGAATCCCTCCTTCCTTCCTACACTTTATCCTGCTCCAAAAATATCACAACAATCAAAATAGAATTTAATCAGAATGCAAAAAAATTAAAAATTATAGTCAACTACTATAGGTAACAAATTAAATCGAATTTACTAGACAGACGCGAACCCATGAAATGCAAGACTTAAAAATTATAATCCGAATTAAACTCAAGCCTTCTGACCAGGACTGATCTAAGCTTAGCCCCAAAAAGATTCACAAAAACCAAATTTTCATCAAACTCACACTTCATTTTAGAAGTACAAAATTGAATCTATTCTTATTTACTTTCAACGCATTATAATCTGCGACCCACCATCATTACAATCTGCTCCCCACATCTTGTTGGGGCCATTTTTCCATCACTATCATAGATTATGTGATTTCTAAGGACATGAAAAAAAAAAAGACAATTGAAAATTAAAAACACATTCTCTGATATTCTTTTGAACCTTAACACATTTTTAATATGCTATTTTAAAGCATTGTTGAATTTCGGTAAGCCTACTTTTTGTTGATTAAGAGTAAGCAATTTATGCTGTAATGAAAGACATTTATCATCCAATCGCAAATGGTTAATAATGATAAATTTGTTTTTGTCTTAACTAACTTAAAATCCATAACATCTAATTGACGGTGACATTGAACTCGTTAATAAATCTCATTCTCGATTTATAATTTTCAATAAATAACAAGTGTTACTGGTCCTTGTCATTAGTTGAAATGTTAAACACTATTTTCATGATGAATTGAAAACATATTGAAAATTATCCAGACTTGTATATTATGCTAGTTTTTAAACCAGTCGATTTAGAAGTTTTCAACAAATTCCAAAGTGTAGGTTAGAAAGATCATTCTGAAACAATGTGTAGAACTCCACCAGTGTAAAATACAAAATTATATAAAAAATAAAGCTGGAAAAAAACACACCAGCATGCATAGAGTAATGATGCGTATGAAAGAGAAATGTAGCGGTAACTGAGTACCTGCGGTACTGTACGGGCATGTTGCCGGCTTTCCAAATGGCGATCTTCTCAAAGGCTTCGATGGGGAGAACGAAGTGTTTGTTGGGAGGGTTGCAGTGGCCACCGCCGTCGGACGTGAAGCCGTAATTGGGGGCGCAGAAGTTCGTGGCCGTGACGATGATGGAGGTGCCGGGGATGCACCACCGGTTGTCGTCCACGCAGCGCAGCTCGAAGCACGCGCCGCAGATCTGGCCGCGCTCGAAGAGCGTCTCGCTGAGGCCCACAGTGGCCATGCCGTAGCCGCCCTTGACGAGGTCCCCATAGCCGCACGCGCCGCCGACGGCATCGCGGGGATCCGCTGCCGCGTAGTAGGTGGCGTGTGCGGATCGCCACTCAGCGAACTCGGGTGAAGCTTGGACAGATGGAGCGGAGTCGGAGGAAGAGGAGTAGTGAGAGGAGACAAGTGTTAGTAGAATGGCTTGTGTGAACGCTGCTGCTGCAGCAACTGCAAATGGTGACATTTCCGTGTGAAGACGGAGAACCGAAGCAGTGATAACAAATGACAGAGATTGAGTGTGGGTTCCTTTATTTGCAACCGACGATTCCACACTCTCTCTACTTTCTCTTTTCCCCCTTTCCCTTTCCCTTCTTTACTTTCACTTCCTCTCTCCCTAAATTACTTCTCTTTTTCTTTATTTCATTTTTTTTTTTCTCAACCATTGCAACTTGATTTTCAACATTGTCATTGCATCTAGTTATTGTCTTGTTTGAAAACTAAATTCGATTCTCTCACAATTTTATTTAATGAATTAACTTTGAAATTTCATTTAAAGTGTTGAATTGAGTTTCACTGCATTGATAGAAATGTTACGTATAATATAGAGTTAATAATGCTGTTTTTTTATTCAATTATTGTTTCAGTTAATCGTATTTCTTATACTTCACTGTAATTATTTGCAATCATTGTAACGGTAACCGACATACACTGGTAGTGTTGAAAATAATTTCTATATATCGGTGTCAAATAAAACTGAATTATATCTTTTATCTTTATTGATTAATATATTTTGTGAAAATATAAACGCTTTGATTAATAATTTAATCAAAGATTTGTATTAAAATATTTGTATTTTATAGAAAAATTAACTTTATGTCTAAGGGTGTAGGGCCACACGTAGACGAATGAGAAAAATTCATTTATAGAATTTTTGAAAGGAAATAATTGTAGATTTGACAATTAGAGATCTTTGTATAATTGCCAATTCTTAACTGTTTAGCAGAATAAGAACTGTACATGTTAATTAACTGAACAATCCAAATTATTACAAAAATAAAAATTAATATAAAATATTTAACAAACAAATTTATCAGAATTTATTGAATTAAAACTATTTTTTATTTATTTATTTACTATTCAAAATGGTTTGAGTGAACAATAGTTATGGTATTCGTGTTTGATTAGATCTCTAGGTTGGAAAGTAACGTGTTCTTATAAAAAATGATTAAAGTTAACATGAACTTTGAAAAAGTATTATTTTTTTTAATAACCAATTACCATTGCACCAATAATTGACTATAATTAAAATTGTATTTCATTTGAATGATATAATTAAAAAATAGTTTTTATTAACTAATTTTGTTTGATATAAGAAACTAAGTACATATAAAACTAAAAATAGAAAAATAATTACATTATGTTTTAGGTTAAAAACAACAAATTAATTTTATAAAAAGTACAATCTTTCCTATTGTCTCAAATATTATATATACAGCTGAAATTTCAATCTTATTTTTTATTAGAAAACATCCAAAAATCTCTTTATCATATCCTCTAGAAAAATGGTTACTAATTATTATAACTTAAAACTAATATTTTTATTATTATATTCTATCAACATACTAATTCAGAATTTAAAAATTAAACTATAGTTAAGCCGATACCAAGTCTGTACTAGTAAAATTAATATAATAATTAAATATATATAAAATAAAATTGGAAATATATAATATAATATATACATTTTTAAAAAATTAAAAAATTAAAATAAAATTAAAATAAAATGTTATCACATTAAAATAAAAAATTTATATAATACTTACCAATATTTATTAATAATAATAAGTCTACAGGTAAAATAAAGCAAAAAATAGTTTTTTAGATTGATTTTTATTTTTAAGAAAAAAATTAAAATTATATATATAACAAATGTTTTTTTAATTACTTTTTTTATCAATTTTGACTAATTCTTTTTTTTATCAGTTTATTTTTAAAATCAATTCTATGAAATTTTAAATTTGGTTATCCACCGGGTTCATTGGCTCATCCTTTCCAGAGGCGGGTTCCATTTTACAATATTTGAAACACAAACTTAAGTATCCGTACAACATATTGAACGAGATAAAAAAAAAAAAAGGTAGTTTTTTTTTTTCAAATTCTACTTTTAGTTTTTAAAATTAAAACAATAAAATTGAAATCCGTAAATAGTAAATTTAAAGAATGAAAATAAATTTTAAAATTATTTTTAATTTATCAAATTATATGATTAAGAATTTAGTTTGTGTTTTATTAAATTTAAAGAATTAAAAAAAATCTAAATTTGAGAGATTACAAATTTTTAATCTGAAATTTCAGATACTAAATACATAATTATTATTCTTTTTCAAAGAAAATATTTTCTAAAATACTGTGAAGAAAGTACTGTAACAGCTAGGTTGAAATATATTGAGAATTTTATAGCATCGCCCTATAATTTAAATTATAATTTGTGTAGTATGTGTTGAAGGGAGCTTTAAGTAAAAAATTAATTATTTCAAAATATAAAGAATGTTAGAATTTTAAATTCCAACTTCCAATAATTCGGATTCAATTTGATATCCTCCTCAAAAGCATAAACTCAAGACATCAGAATGTGAATTGTTATTCCATAAAAAAAAATTCTGAAACCCTAGCTAAGGTAGATGCTAGATTTTGTTGATGATTCGTTGGGGTTTTGGTCTGTGATAATAGGGGACAAGTATTTGAGTAACAAAGGTGAGTTGTGAGGAAGCAATAATGAAAACGATGATTGTATGAATGATGTGAGGTCTGTAATAATGTTTTGGAATCTGATTTAACAATCCACTGGGAGAAGCAACTATCATCTGCATTTCCATGTCCCCTTGTACTCCTATTTTCTCACTGTAATTGCGCTTTTCCATTCATTTTCAAGGTTAGAAAATGACCCATGAAGAGGAACAAAAGTAACTCAAGACAAAGTACGAGGATATGCATATCACAAGGATCTTTAAGATCAAATAACATTTTACAAGCACCGTTCATTCAAATATAATTAACAGCACCAGATGATAATAATAAAAATAATAATAGTAAATCTGGACCAGAAGTAAATATATCTCTTTTTTGTATAAACCCCATTGTTGAACTAAACCCATGTGGATCTGATAATACGGCATTGCATACATATTATTTGTTATTTTATAATCTATTTTACTTTAGAATAAAAAAAATTGTTAGCATAATATTATTTTCTTAAAAAGTATACTTATAAGATACAGGTAAAAATTATGGGATGCAAAAGAAACACTTGTTTTAAACCTTTGATGGGTCATTGCCTCTCTTCTTGAAAGATCCATAAAATATGGCTAATAGGAAGTGATTCCAATATAAGGGACAAAATGCACTTAGACATTTTAAAGCCTAACAAAATTTTAGTCCACGCATTTTCATGTTACATCCTTCATAAACTTTATTTAATTTATAAGGCAACATAACGTCATGTACATTTTCATGAATAGAGGTTCCATGATTTCTTGTTATAAAGATGGCAGGAAATTAAAATAATGTCACGTAAGGAAAGATTAATATTCAACTTCAGGTCATGTAAGTATAATTTACCATTTGACAAAATGAACAATTACACTGATAAGCGATACATAAGTATGTAACTTACACTTGAAAGACAAATACCATTAAAGAAGGGCACAGAACACAGAACAAGATGATTATGAGTGGAAGGTGGGAGGAAAAAAATTGAAGAAATACACAAAGCCTAACATGGCTTGAAGAAATATAAAAAAGTGGGATTATTCACTGGATATGGTACCCCCAAAAAGACATATCAAAAATTTCAGCTCCCTTTTCTTTCTTCTCATAAAAGCTCATCCAGAAACAGAAACTGCTCCTTATGTCTGTAAAAGGGAAACTGCTTTGAAGAAAAGCCAGAGAGGGTACTATAAGGAAAGCTTGATACGTTGCTCTTCCCTCTCCTCATCACATACTGATGAGTACTGGATTTCTCTCTCTGCCATGCACCTTTTATATGGTACAAAACCTTTCCCACAGGTTTTAGGACTCACCCTTAGCTCAAATATAGTTGATGTTTCACTTGGTGAAGAATGATCAAGAAGGTCCAATTGTCCATCCCTTTTGCTAAAGCAATGCACATGACTCTTGGCTTGATCATCTGATTTTTCAGTGTTGTCTCCGTCATTAATTGAACTAGTGCTTGAACCAGTCCATGATCCTTCCTTTTGAACTTCTTTACGTTCAAAATCTCCAACATTGGAGTATAGATGTTTCCCTTTTGACTCCTTATGAAGTGGCACAAATAGTGCATTGTGGGAAAAAGTCCACCTTGGCACAATACTTGCAGTACCTTCTCCAATATCTGAACACCCATTTTGAAGTTGCATAAGATACGTTGCAGCCGCAGGTATTGGTTTGCATGGCTCCGTTGTTAGAGAAGAAGGTTTGCTTGTATCTGTTACCAGTAGAGTGATACCAAAAAGTTTCAGAGTACGACCAGATAATTCTTCTGCTGCATCATCTTTGGTAGAAACACTTTCTTTGTGAAAGAGCTCCAGTTTCTAGATGATAAAATCAAGGGAGAGTTTAATTTTTCATCCATTGTTGGTATGAAGATTTGTACACTATCAACCAACTAGATCACTCTTAGTATGAGTGATAAAAATAGTTATAGTAAAGTTAAAAAACATGTCGGTCATGGTTGGATGACAAATATAAAGCGTATTTAAATTAAATACTAAAATCATTTTCTTAAAAGTATTCTCATAACGATACCACAAGAAAATGAAAATGATTAGGGTTTAAGAAGTACCACGGGAGGTTGCTCATCATGAGCTGAACTTGGTGGAGACCCTTCTTCCTCAAATGATGCTTTGGGCTCAGCTAGCTCAAATCTGTCTGTGGGGACACCGCTAATGGATGAGACTGGTGACAAACTTCCAGTAGGTGTCTCTGAATCGGAGGAACCAAGGTTTTCGGAAATAACTGTAGATAACACTGACTTGGGAGAATTGTTTTCTTGACCAAAATCTGATGACTTAAGAGAATTAGACCTCAGAGGGTGTTCTGAGTTGGAAACCTCTTTCTTTGAAATCTCAACCAGCTTACGAGGGTAAGGATGAGTTGGCTTCCTTTTTGGTCGTGGAGGTGGAATTTCAATTGACTCCTCCAAGGCTGCGCTGTTCCCACTAGACTCTCTAACAATCTGCATGAAGTTAGAACAAATTAGTTGGAGTGTATTAAAGATGAACCCTTCAAATTCATCCTCAAGAAGTTAGAACTTTTGCATCTCTTAAGGTCATCATCACAACTTTAACTAAATGTATGGCTCATGGTATATTTAACATGTGGTAAATGATGAGTACTGGAATATAACAATAAACCTTAGAAAAAAACTTCTGAGCATGACTTCGAATCTGAACAGCAGTCTTTGTGCCAACATGTTCTGTGGTGGAAATAAAAGAATCCAAAAACTTAGACCATACCCTTTGATTGATTCACTAATTTATACATATTCTTTAGCTAGATCTTTGTGGCATACTGTGCGTAAGATATGGAGTTTCAAAATCAATTATACCTTCAATCCGTCGCCAGGCCCTGCCATATAGCTTTAAGGCTTCAAGGAACTTCTTGTGTTCTTCATCTGTCCACCTCTCTCTCTGCTTTGTGATTGTATATGGTTTTCTTACCTGTTCATGCAGATATAAAATTGATTAAAACAAAGGTGACACTGTCACAGATGCAAAAATCAAATTTATAATGCCACAAACACATAAGAAAGAATCAAGGGAGAACCTTCAGGGCATAGTCATTTCCACAAGAAAACTGATCATGAAGTGGAATATCTGCAACAGAATGCACACCAGAATTCAAAGATATTCCATCTCTAATTGGAAGACCACCCCGTGATCGAGTAAATGCATTTGGGCCCTGCATCCAATCCAAAAAGCAAATAAATATAATATAATAATCAAGAAGAAAAATAAAGCAAAATTCAAGGAGAATTAAAGGAAATCATAACCAAAGAGTATTTGTCCACCAATGAAACATTCATCTCTTAGTAAACTAAACACCAATCAACATTTCACAATTTTCCATTAAATTAAGTTGTTGTTTTTTTCTTTAAAAAAAATCAGGAAAATTGTGCCTTTGATGAAGATAGGCAAAGTGTTCTTAGCAAACTGTCAATTAAACCTGAAACATTCAAAAGTTACTTTTCCAAAATTTATAGAATTATCATCCAATTTATAAAATTAAAAATTACATATATTTAACATTTGAAAAGGTAAACCAAATCATATTTCATAAAGTAGCCCTCTATCTTTTTTATTATTTTATTTGACTTTTTATTTTAATCTTCAAAACAACAGCAGACATACCATACCCAAATGAAAAGACTTCAAGCTGGAAATCCAGAACAAACCATAAAACATACAAGTACGACCTAAACCAACAACAATCTCATGTCCCTCAACCAAAATCCCCACATAATCAAATATTCTACATCAAAGAAAGAACAAAGAGGAAACTCGTATTTACATACTTGTATCGCCATGTGGTGAATATCTTCTCCTTCCTGCACGGTTGTTTCACAGAACACTGAAACAGTAAATCTTATCTTTCTTCGTACACGACTTTCTGAAAAGTTTGTAGCACAAACAAACAAATCACAAAACCCCACACTTCTCCCTCTGCAACTCTGGAACCAACAACTTCGTATCAAATGGACTTCTCTTGGCACCAAACGAAGACACTGTTTCGTCTTTTGTTTTATCCAACACTACAGTTCCAGCTCAGAATTGAAAAAACTCTTTCAAGATCCCGTGACCACGCACTGCAGAAGCTTGATCATTCAAACTGAATCCACTTCTCGAATTTGCAACGATCACCCCAACCTTTCCAAATCTCAAGGTGCTGGCTCGAGGAGCAGCAGCAACAGTGACACAGATGTAATTAACTAAGAAATGGTCGATGGTTCTCAAATCAACAAAACTCACAATGAAAAAAGGCTTGATGATAGAAGGTTTCTAAGTTCCCAAAACAAAATGATGGACGTTCAAACAAAAAAGTTCCAAAAACAAAGGACACAAACATGGAAAGAGTTTCTCAGAGTTGTCATGGTTGTCAAAACGCCCAAAAGGGGTGGAGAAAAACAAAGAGAAACAGGTTAAGGTTTGAGTTTTGAGAAGAAGAAAAATGGAGTGAAGGAGAATAACAGAGAGAAGAAGAGTGTAGATAGATATAAAAGCCAAGTGGGAAAGAGACTATTTTGAAGGAGAAAAAAAAAAAAAAAGGAGCAACGAGAGAGTCCCACGTCAGATATTGAATTTTGTTTTGTAGGAGAGAAAAATAAATTTTCTTTTTAATTTGTTTTTTTCGATCGAAATCCCGAGAACTCGATGCAATCTTGTGGCTCACGTCGAAAGAGGTCCTCCACACGTGGCGTTCCGCTGTCGCGTCTGTTTTTCGCTTTTCTGTTTTTTTTTTTTTTCCTTTTTCATTTTATTAATTTGGTTTCGTTTTCTAATTGGGTGGCGAAAGAAACTGATACAGAGTGCGTTGTGGATAATTTCGGAAACAGAGCATACTCGCGAGTGCCACTTCCACAGTGCTACTCGCACTGTCACAGGTGCCACGCCACTTTATCATGATTAATGCGTGGCCATTATTTTCCCAGCTCCCATATAGATAATTCTGCTTTTTAATATATATTCTATAATTAGTCCTTTTCTTTTTCTTTTTTTTCCTATAATATTCTATAGTGTTGAATTGTTCGAATTCCATTATGGACGAGACTATTTTTTCAACTATATTTCATTTAAGTTAATAAATACCTATTTCAATAAAACTAATACTTCATTGGAAGTGATATATCATTTTCTCAAATTTTATTTTTCAAAATATGTACAAGTCTAAATGAAGCATACTGAATCTATTGAATAATTATATTTTTTTAGTTTGGTTTGAGAAATCAAAATAATTATTTTTCTTTAAAATCAATAAACTCGCTCCGACGGAAGAGAAGGATCTGAAATATTTTTAAGAAGAATAAATAAGTAACAGGTGTCAGCACCACCGAGCGAGTAGGAGTTTGAGTCAACCAAATAGCGTTAACGCGAGTATACAAGTGGGTAAAATAATATTCCAATAAAAATATACAATAATATTTAATTGATTAATGTGATGTGATATACGCGATAATATTAATATGTAATAAGAAATTTGGAATTTAAATACGGGTGCGAAGATAATTTATTAAAAAGAGATAAATTAATATCTTATTATGAAATAAAAGATAGTTCAGTTGAAAAAAAAAATATTAATGAGTGTGGTTGTGACCTGTTGTGATTGTAAGGATATGGAAAATACGAGGATATTTGTGTGAGAAGGAGAAAAAGGGTTAAATATCTTAAAAACGAAGAGCGAGGGTTAGGAAGAGTGAGTTGTGGATGAAAAAGAAGGAACAAAAGAGGTTGTCGCTTTCACCTTTGCGCTTTTCGCCACGTCACTGCCACTTGCCGCCCCATTAAGAGAACACCGCCACGTGTACGTTGAACACGGGGATAGCGATCATTCCACACCACTCGTTTTTTCACTCCCGTTGTTACATTTCTTTTTCTCAAAACCCTCGCAATTTTATGGCCACAACATTTTGTTCGCCCTTTTTTATTTCTCACATTCGCATTCATGAGTTGACATTGACAAGCAGAAACCTGAATGCGATAAATGTCACATTAAGCAGGACAAATCTCCACCTTATCTTTTTACGTCAACTTAACCAATTGTTTTCTTTAATTAAACTGTTATAATTTTTATTAAAAGATTAAATTTTTTAAGGTTATTGATATTTGAAGAAGATTTAATTAAATATCTTGGTAAAGTTATAAGCTTATTCTAAAAAAATGTTGATAAACTGAAGAACCTTTATGAAGCAAAAGAGACATTTGAAGACTTTAATGGAGTGTTGGACAGAGGCAGGTGTGGGATTGTAGTAGAACGTGGAAGGTTGCAGTCTTGATTGAAAATGGATGTTTGAGGGACCATTGTGTCGGGGCAGATATTGAGTTTCCTGGTCTAACCCTGGAGGCACTGTTTGGTGGGGAGACAACAAAAACTACGTTTCCTGCGTTTCCTACCTCTTCATTTCATGGGTGTCGGCTCCATAATTCAAGATAGATTTAACTTAGGTTTGTTCTATTCTATAGGATTCCAGATAGTAACAGATACTTTTGGTTCTTCTTTTTGTATCATGGTAAGGTAAGGTATACTGATTCATGTTATGTGCTTTTTAGACTCCCTAACATGAATCATCAATAAATATTTGTATATAAGTGTACAATTAATGTGATTACACCACCATTCATTCTTAGAGAAGGACAGTGAGCTTGATGAAAAATAAAATTAAAGTCACAAGAGATTTTTCAGTCTATTAGTAATCATAATAAAATCAAAGTTCTATATTTGCCTTTTACTTGCTACTGCATCAGTATTTCATGGGCTTTCGTGTAATTTTCATTCATCAAAATCCAGTCATAGCTTACTCCAAACAAATGAGAAAAATCATTTTAGGTATTGAATAAAGTTATGAATATCTCATCTTTATGTTTATAACACAATAATTATGTAAGGGTTTGGAAGAGTTTATAACACTTATTTTAGATAACTTCTCCACATATACTTATTAGAAAATAAAAAAAATTATAAACAAAAAATAAATTTATACATAATATCAATTATTTAATAATATTTTTTTAAGTAAAACCACTGAGATATAACTTATTAAACATGTTGCTATCTCATTCATTCATATTTTGTCATGTATTAATTTTGCATTAGTTCAAGCGTCATCTTTCTTAAAACACTTTTTTTTTACGAGAAAAATCTTATCAGTCTTACATTTTATCTTATTAGTGTTATTTTTCTTCCATATTCTTGTGTTACTTGTTTTTTTTTAATTATATTTAAAATTAGTAAAATAAGTTAGTTATTTTTTTAATCCATTATATTTTAGTAATATATATATATATATATATATATATATATATATATATATATATATATATATCGAATCATATCAGTAAATTTTGACTCAATTTTTATTTTTACAATATAAGGTCAACGAGATAGTGGAATAATCAGTAAATATTTTTTAAAATAATTTTTTTATATATTTTATAATTTATTTTAATATAGACTTAATTATATAAATATTTTATATATCTTTACTTGTTAATTAATATTTTTTATATATATTTTAAATAATATATTTATATGTTAAATTATTTTATTATAATTAATAATTTAAATATAATTTATAAATATTTATAAAATGACTAATGACCCTATTCTATCTTTGATCTATCCCAGACTAAAAATAAACTAGACGATAAAATTCATTTGAGACTTTGTCCTTTTAACCTAACATGTCATCTCTCTTATGTTTTAATTATTAATTTTGTTGTGTTATGTTACATGGATGACTATTTTGCCTTTTGTGTTGTAGTGGTTTTTATGCCTTTTAATAGCTGGAAAATATAAACTTATGAAAAACTTTATTGAAACTCGGAATAAAACATGTGAAACATTATGTGGCTAAAAGTTTTGTACATCTTTTAATTTTTTTAATTTATGTTACTTTCATTTGTATTATTCATTAAATTAATACAATGAAGTTTTATTTCTTTGCTACATGTATGACAAAGACTCAGTTATTATTTTATAACACTAGCTAATGTTATTTTAATGCTATAAAAAATCTTTATAAACTTGCTTATGGAGATATAGGTAGATTTTTCACATAAGTGAACAAAAACATTAAACAAAATGCAAGAAATAATGTAAATTAATGAAATAAAATATTACTCAAATCATAAAAGTTATATACTATTATAAGAAAACATAAATAGCATAAAAGACAATTAAATAAAGGGAAAAAGACTAAGATTACAATTTACATTGGATTTTGGACTCTTTGTATAAAGAAAAACTCAAACGCATAACTTAATTTTATTAGTATTTAAAGAAACATCATATGTGAGAATTACAATTAACATAAAAAAATTACGATAATTATAATATAATAATGACTGAGTCCTCATATATTTATCAACATAATAATGAATTTCATTATAGTTTTTATTACAAAATGATATAATTTATTTATGAATAATAATATGAGAGAAATTTGAAATTATAAATATGATAATAATTATAAAAAATACAACGTTATTTAATGTAATAATTGATATTTTTAAAGAAAAAAATTGAAAAAAATATTTAATAATTTTATAATAATAAAAATTACAAAAAAATGATTCACAAAATATTATTTTGATTTAATTTAAATTTTACATTCAATTAAAACTGAATAAAATCAACCTATTTATATATTAGATTATTAAATATCAAATTACCCTGAAAAAGCATAATATACATATTCTTACTTGAGCAAAATAGGTGTATTTAATAATTATTTAATGTTTGTTTTACTATATAAGTATCTATTCAGGATTTTCTCTTCACTATATTGACTTAAAATTTCAACACTTTCAACTTTTATTCAAACAAACTTTTCCCAAGATCGAACCTTTTTTGTTTGATGTCCACCTACATACTTTAACCAACTTGTGCCCACAAGTCATGCAAATTTGTTTTAGCCTAATTTTGAAAATCCATGTTATTTTCAAATATTGATAAAAGAATGCAACCAATTGGACAATCACTTTTAATACAAGCTTCAATCTTTGTAAATAAAAATTAATCGAACGCGGCTCAAGATTTTAAAAGTGATTACGAAAGTATTTCCATGGTAGCAGAATTCAAACTCGTATATATATATATATATATATATATATATATATATATATATATATATATATATATATATATATATATATATTGTATCTTTATCGACACACATTTTAAAATTAGGCAATGAAACTAGCCCAGGTGGCATAAAATAAACCAAATTTTAGTTCATATATTTCCAAGTACTAGGCAACGAAAGTATCTAAAGTTGGTATCATCCTTCATCAAATGTACAAGTTTTATCTTTATCAACTGAACCAAACTTTAGTTCACACATGTTTCGAGTATTAGACAATGAAACTAACCAAGGTTGTCTTGCTAAAAGTAGCATTTAGGACGCAAAAGTAAGGGTAATAAGGTAACTGACACATCAACTTGTTCTTGGGCACTAGTCTCATCTCAACGACCCATAATGGGACTGGGACAGCTACACACGTCAATCTCTCAAACCATTGATCATGAACATGTGAATCGATTCAAATCTTGTACCAACTTAAACTAAACACATGAGAAAAACAAAGGGGTAAAATATATTGTTTTTTTATTTTCTTATTTAAGATGTGAAAGATAACGTTAGCACCGTAAAAAAAAAGGATAATCCATACATAATCTGAGAAAAAAAAGGCAAATCTAATTCACATCTTTTGTTACCAATAACCTTTTGCCAAACATTTTAAGTTGATTTTGATCGTTGAATAAGAAACACAACTTGCAAAACCATCCACTTTTTGAGCACTTATGCGCTTCTAATTCCATGAAAGTGAAAATACAATTTTAAATTATCCCAAACAGTGTAAAGAACTAAAGAGATTAAAAGAAAAATTGACGTGACAAGGATTCCAAATCAAGTTAGGTAACATTATTATTTATTCTAAACGCATGAGCTAAAGTTCATATATTAACGTTTCTGTTGAAGTGGCAGAATAGAATGGTTGATGAAAAATTATTGATTATTGCTCATTTGTTAAATACATATATAATAACGATTGTATACAATTAGGCCAGAATTTTAAATGCTGCAAAAAAAAATGCTATATAAATAAGTAAAAGTCACATCTCATTCTCATTTTGTAATTCCTCAATTCATTTCTTATATATTTTTTTTGTCACTAACCACAAGACAAATCCATAAATCTATAAAGGAGGGGCTGGATTTTGTTTCCTCTTTTAATAGTTATTTAAATATTTAACCTTTAAAAGATAATATTTGTCATTAAAATATTTACTCATCTAACTAATAAGGCTAAAATTGATTCTTTTAAAATAATATTGAAAACAATTAAATAAAAAGAATACTTTATTCAATTTTTAAAACAATAAAAAAGCAATAATTCATTGGATACGATAATTTAAAAAAAAATCAATAATTCACTGGATATCAATAGTTTAAAAAATATAATTATGATTATTTTTTAATTTTTTAGATTTAATAACTTATTAGTATAGATCTACAATATTGCTAAATATTATGTATAAATATTCTATCTATCCTGTTGATTAGTTTAAAATAAAAGAGGTTTAGAACATTTCTCAAGGTCCATAAAACACAAATATACCATGCATTACCAAGAGTTACAACTGTTTACGTTCCTTCTATCAATGAAAAATAATTTCCCTCTAAAAGGATTCCGTATACTATAACTAGTACGGTTTTTTTTTTATTATTATTAATTTTGAACATAACAATACAGTTCTAATTTATTTATTTGAAGTAAGAGAAATGATAAAATTATCAAACAGTTTTAATGATAATTGTCAGACTACTTTTTTATTTACTATTAAACAAAATTAAGATAAAAAAATAAATGAAACACTACCTAAATACATTATATTTATTTATGTTAGAAATCACGTCATTTGTAATAGTTTATTGTAATTTTGTATGCTAGTAGTTTAATAATTTTACAACTTAATATTCATTCATTATTCACAACGAATTTTTATTTCAATTTTTGAGGAAGGTGTTCAAATCCTCTAATTGGATTTTGATTTTTTTGTTAAATTAAACTTTTATTTGTTACAAGATAAAAATAGTAAAATTTAAAAATTTTAAATAATTTGTATATGCCTAACATGAATTATTCTCATCAAAATCTCAAAATAAGTGTGATTAAATTCTATTAGTTAAAAGTGAAGTAGAGTGTGATGGAATCGTAACTTAACTAAACATATGATATAAAAAAATTGATAATATGATATAACAAAAAGTGTAAAAGTGTGATGAAATTTGAAATTTATTAAATATATTATAAATTATAATATATAAATAAATATAATCATTATTATATCAAATTAGTTTTGTAATATCTCACAAGTATTAAAGTTAATTTTAATTATATTACTATATGAAAAAATCTTTTTTGAATGTGAAATATGATAAAATTCTACCAACATTAAAAATATAATAATATAATAATATACAAATAAATAAAATTTATATATAATAATTTTTTAATTAAGTATATGATAACTTTTTAAGATTTTTTTATTAATGTAGGAATTAGCTTGAATCTCATTTCTAATGTTTTAATTATAAAATATTTTAAAGAGAACCTAGATTCAAAGAGATAAATATCTATAGAGGATATTATGATAAATTTAATATTATAAAGAAAAGAGTGAATATTTATATAAGAAAAAAAGAAAAAAATTGTTTAATAAAAAAACACATAAAAATAATTTAAAAAGTTATAATTTTCAACTAAGTTGAGATCTTTATAATAATTTATCACTTAAATAAGTTTATAATAATTTCATTAGAATAATAAAACCTGATTTTTTTTTATAGTTATATTTTCTTTTATTTATGAAAAAAAATTAATTGAGCTGAATTTTTAAAATAGAACCCAAAGTATACAATTAGCAATATATCTTAATGTGATAAAGTGATAACTTTATTTAGAATTAAATAACATGATTTACTGTTCACAATTATATCCTATAATAAGTCTTACAGTGGATCATCACCGCATTCAATATTCTGGGTTGTGATGGACCATTTCACAAATTGGACTCAAATCAAACCCCATATGAAAGAGGAAGTTTTTAAAAAAATTATTATTATTTTTTTTACATACGAAACCAGTAAAAAAATTGTCAATCAAGCTCTATCTACTTGTTCATGAAGCATCTACTTATTATTATTATTATTATTTACTCCTATCACTTTTTTATATTATGATAAAAAATTATGATTTTATTAATACATAAAAAAATGTTTGGTCATTTAGTCATAATTAATTATTTTTAATCCAATATTAAGAAACTCCAAAAGTTGTGATTAATAATAATATTTAAATTTTTCTTTCTTTCTCTTTTTACAAGATGAATGATTATGTATATTTGGAAATTAATATTTTTTTATTCATAAATATATATCATACATATATAAAAGTATAAATATGTTTAAATTTAAATAATTCCCATTACCATCTCAACATACTCCATTTAAGTTTTCTAGTAACCAATGATTACAAAAAATAAAAACCCGTTGAACATTCTCCATAATTGAGTTGTCTTATGCATTTAAGTTTTCAATGTACAATTTCACCACTAAAAAAAAGCCCACACCTTAACTTACGTAAGTTATGCCCACCAGAAACTTGAAACTTAACTCAAAGTTAATATTTTAGTTAACAGTTGTTAAACTGATTTATTACATAAAAATTGATAAAACTGGTTTTTCAAATGATATAAAATATGCATATTTATATTACCTTTTATGAGTTATAAAACCGATTTATTATATTAAGAATGACATAAATAGCTGTTTAATATTTGAAGAGTGTGATTAATTGTTTTTTTTATTATAATTTTATAAAATATTTTTTAAAATTTTTAGATAATAGTGTATCAATTAAACCACATGATTTAATATCAAAGAAAACATTTTTGTTAATAAAATACGACAGCAATAGGAATTTTTATTAAATTTTAAAAGAAAACATAGAACTGTAAGCTCAAACGTTATTTTAAGTAATATACAAATGTGATATTTTATATAACATCCGAAAACACTACTATCTCCATGTCATATTTTTAATGTTTAATTTGTTCCCTTTTTGCAAATTTAGAATATGTACACTTATATCTATATTTTTCTTAAATGATGATAAAGGTATTAGGTTATGATATATATATATAATTTAAATATAAAAACACTTTACATCTGTCAAATGTTCTTCATATTATATGCATTGACTCAAACATCAATAAATAAATAACAATGGAATGTAACTTAATTTATTAAAAAATTTGATTTTACTTAGACAAAGTTTTGAACTGAGGGTATCACTAAACTAGTTAAAATGTATTCACTGATACTAATTGAAGTCATTAAACTAAGTCAAATGTCTTCCTTTTCAATAGAAAAAAAAAATTGATGTCTTTTCTAACATTGATAACTCAGCCGAAAATTAAACTCAGAGATAAAAAAAATATATCAAAGTTTTACCTAATCAGGCCATAATTACACATATTTTTAATATGTATATTTCTTTAAAATTCCCAAGTAATCTTTATCTATTATTTTTAGTTTCAAAGACATAGATTAAAGGGAACTAAAAATAGTATACAGAGAGACACAAAAATGGTTTAAGTATAGAAACTAAAAAGAAATAGTTTTGTTGTTTTATTAAAATGAATCGAGTAATTAGATCTAAAATAAAAATAGAAAGCAAAGCAAGGGGCTCATACCTTACAGGTTGCGTAAAGGACGCGCCAGTCTTTTCTCCGATTGGACGAGAGGCAACAGATCAGAGGCGGTCCCTTGATATCTACTTATTCGGGTGCAATGCAAGCATATTCTGTCCAGAACTAAATACACTGGCGTTTTGTTATCGTGTCAATTTCTGCAAGCACCACCACACCCTTCCTTCTCTTCTATTATCACCACCTTCTTTACACACTCTCTCACTATCTTCCCTGTCGTCTTTCCTCACGTAACCCTCGCATCCTTCGGCTCCTTTCGATTCTTCCACCGCAATGGCCACTGCCACCGAGAAGATCTCCGCTCTCCAATCCGCCGTCGCCGGATTGAACGAAATCAGGTCTCGCATTCTCTCTATTTCAATCCTCCATTCTTCATTTCCTCCGTTTTCGCGCGAATCTGATCGGAATCTGATTCGTGTTTTGTTCTGTGCAGTGAGAACGAGAAGAGCGGATTCATCAACCTCGTCAGTCGCTATCTCAGGTGAGTCAATCTCCGAGACGGAACCACCCCTTGTGCATTCGTGCTTATTTGTTGTTGATCTCAGCGAATCTTGCTTTTGAATGTGTTGCAGTGGCGAAGCGCAGCATGTGGAGTGGAGCAAGATCCAGACGCCTACGGACGAAGTGGTTGTGCCTTACGACTCTTTGGTGCCAACTCCTGAGGGTAACGAATCCTCGCGTTTTTTTTTTTTTTCCCGTCGATTTGATGTTATGAATATAGTTCGGTTTGTTATATGGAACGAAATTGGTGCAGATCCTTCGGAGGTGAAGAATCTATTGGACAAGCTCGTGGTGCTGAAGCTAAATGGAGGCTTGGGAACAACTATGGGCTGCACTGGTCCTAAGTATGCCTATGCCTAGTTGAGATATGACTATTTGTTTTTAGATATCAGGGGATTTTAATCGAGACTTAGGAGTGGGATCATATATATGATATTTATTGACTGTTAACATTTAGTTTTTCTAAATTGATTATGATCTAAAAGATATACTGTTAATGCATGTAGAGTACTGTGTATGACACTTTGATTGAAAACACATCTGTTATCTGTGTGTCTCCTTTTACAAAGTAAAATAAAATGTGAGTTTCGACTTGTTGAAAAGTAATTAATTGACCTGTAAATCAAATGCATCTGTATATGTATATGTATCTAAGTGTTAATTGACCTGTAAATCAAAACGAAAGTTCCTGAAGGATAATAATCTTAAACCATCATTTCTGACTAGCTGTATATGTATCTAAGTGTTAATTGACCTGTAAATCAAATGCAGATCTGTCATTGAAGTTCGTGATGGGTTGACATTTCTAGATTTAATTGTCATCCAAATTGAGGTTATTCCCGAGTCCTGTTTTTACATGGTTTTTATGTTTCCCCCACTTGTTTGAACTTTCCGCTGATGAATTCATTCAACACTCATGATGTAGAATCTCAATTCCAAATACGGAAGCAATGTTCCTTTGCTTTTGATGAATTCATTCAACACTCATGATGACACTCAAAAGGTACTTGCTCCGTATTTCTTATTTATCCCCTTTGCTAAGTAGGCATTATATTCTGAATTTGCTTGAAAACTAACAATTTCACTTATGTAGATTATTGAAAAATACCAAAATTCAAATATCGAGATTCATACTTTTAACCAGGTTTGTAACTGTGATTTCTTCTATATTATGGATTTTCTGGACTTTGATATTTAATTTTTTGTTTCAATATTTGTTGCACTATTACTTATTTATGCAGAGCCAGTATCCTCGATTGGTTGTTGAGGACTTTGTGCCATTGCCTTCCAAAGGGCGCACTGACAAGGACGGATGGTATGTATGTATGACTACATTTTTACATTTATTCTTGATCATATTATTGCATCAATTTCACAACTTTCACAAGATTTGATTTATGTCTTTCTTCTGTTTTTCTGAATTAGGACTGCTATTGGATATTTTAGATGTAAATATAAGCTATAAAATTATTTGAGCAAATTAATTTTATCTTAGAGTGCCTAGAGTACGTGGTCTGCATGCATTGGAGTGTCATTGGTGACATGAAAATTTCTTCCATGCTGAATGTTTTCCTTATCTCCTGACTAATCACGTGTCCTATGAATGGATTTGTACTTAATATTTGCTCTTCACTCTGGTTGTCACTGCAACTATATTCTTTTTTCAAATAGGTATCTTAACATGGCATTGTTCATATTTTGATGGATTGCTTGCTTAACCTCTCACATGTGTTGTCTTTGTCTCCAAGCATCAGAGGAGTAAATAGTAAACTATTATAAAATCTCTCATTTTGAAAAGAAGCATTTCTGATAGCAGAAAAACCTGGGATAAATTCGTATACCACTGGTACCAAGAAGAAGAACAAGGTTTAATATTAATAATTGAAAACTAAATATATAAAGGTTTATCTTGTAACTCTGTTTTCTGACGTAACTTGTATATTTCATAAGCTTTTATCTTGTTGGCTAAATTCTAAGGAGTCATAGAAGCTTCATCTCCACAATTAATATTTAGAAATATCGTCAGATCCTTTTTATTCCTCATTCCACCTTTTGTATAATTAACTCGTTATTGACACTGAACTCCTGTCACTTTTAGCAACCCTGTACCTTTCGAGGTTAATCCAACCGAGTTTATCTTTTCTGATATGCATCACTTGTATCCACCACTTAAACCTCATATATCAACCGTCTTGAAGATAATTGTTCAGAATGTATTAACTTTTCTTCCTTGGAGGAATTTTGGTATTTTGTAAAGACTGTTTTCCTCAAACATTTTGTGCCAGAGCTTTCCATGAGGGTGAGGTTTTGCTAGGGTAAACCCAAATACATATAGTAGGATACTATTAGTCAGAGATTAATATATGCTGTATGTCATTTAAAATATAAAATAATCATGTTAATATGTCTTAGACCAGAGTACTGCTATATTTGGTTATGTTGGAAGTGATACCCATGATTTATGGTTGTTTTGAAATTGAAAGTGTTCAAGGTAGCAAATTAACATTGAGCTAATCAGAAAATAGAGTATATTTTTGGCTTATGAGTAATTCTTATGTATAGGTACCCTCCTGGCCATGGTGATGTCTTCCCATCATTATCGAACAGTGGCAAACTTGATGCACTGTTGTCCCAGGTTGATCCTAGAGCTAAACTTGTTTCTAGTTGGTCTGTTTTTATTTATTTTTCATAATTATTATCATTACTATATTTTCATTTTCCTTTTGTTCTTACAGGGTAAAGAGTATGTGTTTGTTGCCAATTCGGATAACTTGGGAGCTATAGTTGACTTGAGTATCCTTATTTTTCATTGGTTCTTTCTGTTTTGTTTTTAATTATTTTATACTACATCACATACTATTTATACATAAAAATAGTTTCTTTGGTGCTATCAGTGTACTTGACTCATTGATGTAGAAATCTTACATCATTTGATCCAGAACAAGAATGAATACTGTATGGAGGTAAGGAAAGATGATTTTTATCTTGTAACTTATATTTTCAGACTTTACATCTTTTCATTTTTTTTTCTAATGCAGGTGACTCCCAAAACATTGGCTGATGTCAAGGGTGGCACTTTGATTTCTTACGAAGGAAGAGTTCAGGCATGTAATCTTACTGTTTTTATTTTTTGACACCCATGGTTTCATCTGGTTATTTCTGACTCTAGCTATAGAAAAAAAAAAAATTCAAGTCTCTCTTTGTAAACTTGCTTTTGTTGTGATATATTCTTTCCGTAATTTATATCTGAACGAAATAAAAAAAATAAAAAAATCCATCCAGAGTTCATCAGTGACGGTACTCTCTACCTCCTTTTGGTTTAATGAGAAAATAAAAATCTATTGAAATCTCAAGCATTTGAGTGATATTTATCTTTGATTCTTTTGTGCAGCTCCTGGAAATCGCCCAAGTCCCAGATGAACATGTAAGCCACTAAATATGTCTCTTCTTCTTGGTTCATCTCCGTCTTCCCAGGATAGGCAATTGTTTTAGGAAATTATTTAGTTATGTTACGTAAATATAAAGCTATGAAGAATATGCATAGTGATTAAGCATTAATACATTTGCTGAGATTGGATTGGCCTGTGTGATTTTAACTATGTTGTGGTGTAACAAATGATTATTAAGCTTAACTGATGTTGATATATTGATTGTTTGACTGGAGATGTAACATCAATGGATACACCTTTTTAATAAGAAAGCGAAAAAAAAAATAGAAACCACGATTCTTTTTGTTATTTTCATTGAAGTCTCACAAGATTTCCTCTGTGGAAAGTATTTGAAGGATAAAGATGATAAACTAGTTGTTTTATGGCAATATATATTAGTAGCCATTACTTTGGTTGATATAAGGAGTTGATATCTCTGTGCAATTGCACTACATCTTTTACTTTACAAGCAGTTGATAGTTGTCAATGATAAGTAGTTGTGAACTGTAATTTGAAGCTGCTAACATTTTTTTTTTTTATAAAAAATTATCCAAAATCCACATTGATGATATAATGTTTATAGTTAAGTGACAACAAATTCCTTGCTTTTGCAATTCTTTTGACACGATTTATGGTAGCTGGGACGTGTGGTAAATAATGATGTTAAGCCTTAACTTAGGCGGAGACTAGAAATGATATTTGCCAATTATCCCATTCAAATGTATTTCTGTCTTCAATGCAGGTCAATGAATTCAAGTCAATAGAGAAGTTCAAAATTTTCAACACAAATAATTTGTAAGTTTTACTGGTTAGTGCCCTTGTTTTTTTAGATAATATATACTCATGCATATAAGTTTGACTATAATCTACAGGTGGGTGAACTTAAATGCAGTTAAAAGGCTTGTTGAAGCTGATGCTCTTAAGATGGAAATTATTCCTAACCCAAAGGTTCAAATTTGTTATTTTTCAAGTGATAACCTGTCTTTCCTTCTTTCGGATGTTCTATCGTAGGGCTAGTTGTTTGGCACTTGATATTCGTTGGGAAATTGCTGACTAACTAAATCTGTGGACTTGTAGGAAGTCGACGGAATAAAAGTTCTTCAGTTGGAAACTGCAGCTGGTGCAGCAATAAGGGTACTCGGTGTCTATTAATATAGTAATGAAGTCTTCTTTACTATAAGTTTCTTCAAGCGCTAATATATTCACATCGTTTCTAACAGTTCTTTGACAAGGCTATTGGTATTAATGTTCCTCGATCACGATTCCTTCCAGTGAAGGCAACTTCAGATTTACTTCTTGTCCAGGTTATACACTTTTCCGCTGCAAGACAAACAGCCTTGCTTGGATATTTGAGTCTTCTACTGACATAAGTAGTTCTTTGTTTCAGTCTGACCTCTACACCTTGGAAGATGGATTTGTCACACGAAACAAAGCTAGGGCAAATCCTGAAAACCCTTCTATTGAACTGGGACCAGAATTTAAGAAGGTTAAGATTGATATTACGTATTACTTTGTGTTAGAGGGTAACCATAATACTAAATTTCTTAGTCTCCTCCACAGGTTAGCAACTTCTTGGGCCGCTTTAAGTCAATTCCTAGTATTGTTGAGCTTGACAGTCTAAAAGTTGCTGGCGATGTATGGTTTGGAGCTGGTGTTATCCTCAAGGTATTGGATTTAATCCTTTGTTCTTGTGCTTTAGCGTTGTGTCTAATTTTAAGGGTGAAACTGATGTTAATAATTCAAATATCAAACTTAAGAGTTTTAGAATTGAATATTGATAAAATTATATTAAATTTCTGCCCTAAAATATAATTTTGTTACATTATGAATGAGAGAATTGTATACTGTTATGATTAATACAATAAATCGTCATATAAGTTCCTCTTGTTATGATTAATGTTAAACTTGTATTTTATAAAGATAAAACTTAGATAGGACCTTACATGCTAAAGGTGAGCAATATCTCTGGATGAGGTGACTTAAAGGATTTTGTTATGGTACTTCCATAAGTACATGCAAAAGCCTCACATTATACATCTCGCTGTGAGACATTTTCAAGATAAAAATATGACGGAGTCACACATCGTACAATTGGAATATTAATTAAAATTCTGTTTTTAAAGTTCTCTAATTTTTTAAGTAAATTGAAATCTCACCCAAAAAATAAATATTTAATGGTTGAACTTAATTTTAGTCCCTATAGCTCCCACTGTTTTGGGTGGTTCAGTGCTGGTTTTTGGTACCTATAACATTGAGTTCTTAGTCCCTATGATTTATCTCATTCGATTTTTGTTACTAAACGCTATATTATTCAATTGTTTCTTTTTCTGTGCCTATGAAGAAATTGATCCTGAGTTTCCTATCCTCTTTTTCATGCCTCCAATCTAACTTATCGAGATAAAAGCTTGTCCAAACTAACTCAGTCCAAAACTATTTTAGGAAGATTCTCAGTTTATATATGATTACCAGTAAACTTGTTTTGGATTCCAAAAAGGTTAAAAATACCTTTTTGGTTCTTATCTTGTTCTTTTTAGTTTCAGTTTAGTTGCTTTGCTCCCTTCCATTTTTCTCATGAATGAAATTAGTTTTTTGTCTGTTTGGCACGTCAACACTATTATTAACTTTGGTTGACATGACACATTTATATTATATGATGGTGTTATTGTGGACAGAGGCGGAGTCAAAGCTTCAAGTCAAGGAGGCAAAAAATAAAATATGTTTATATTTTTTTTTAACAATAAAATGAAAACCACAAATCATATATTAATAGTAACAAGTTAGTTAGTGCCATAAACTAGTAGAAGAGCACCAACTTGACCAAATTAAGGAAAGCGCGAATTTGGTTTAAAAGAGAGTATACACCGACTAAACTAAAACTAAAAAAGTAAGAAGAGGGACCAAAAGAGTCATTTAATCAAAATAATACTATTTTGTTTTCTGATGTCGTTTTGTGGTGCCATAACAGGGAAAAGTCAGTATCGTAGCAAAGCCTGATGTAAAGCTGGAAATTCCCGACGGTGCTGTCATTGCGGACAAGGTAATTTAACTATATATGGATTTTATTTGTGAGCGTGAGGTCAATTTCTTCTAGGTCTAAAGATCGATTTGTTATATGCAGGAAATTAACGGCCCAGAGGACCTGTGAGGAAGCTAAATAAGCTTTAGAAGTACCAGACTGTATTCCTTCTTTACAGTCTGGTGTTATTTTACTTACTAGTACTCCCCCAAGTTTGATAGGAAAAGAAAATAAGTTGTTTTTTGTTGAGAGGGTGTCTCGTTATGGACCTTTGTTCGTTGTCTTGTGATTATTCTGTTTGGAACTGAGAATTTGACAATGTTGGTCATGAGTTCTTCCATGCCAATTTTTGTATAATAACGTTTTTCCATTACCATAAATATTAAGAAGTTATGTAATTGAGGCTTCACTGAAAAATATCGTCAATTGTTTTGTCTCCTGTCGAAAAATCAACAATACAAACAATGTGTTGAAGTGCAACAGCGCGCCAATGAAAACGACATGTAAAATTCCTGTGTATTTTATTACCTAGCACAAGAAGGGGCATTGTAATAACACAGTAAACAATGAACATGCAATATTATTTCAAGGGTAAGCAGAAGAATCGGCACTTACAAAATACAATTATTAAATCAATTACGTTAAACGATATCAGACTTTAAACTACATTATATCATTTTATTTTCTATTACGAAGTATACAAATATTTTTAATCTACACTACTCGAAAATGAGATTATTTTTGTAAATTTTTATAAAAATTTGCAAAATATATATTTCTTATTAATTTAAATAATTTTTTACAATAAAATTTGCAGAAAATGATTAACATATATTGGTTATTGCAGTTTAATAATAATAATTATTATCAAATAATTAATCAGTTTTAGGGTTAAATGTTTTCAGTTTAATTATGATTATTGTTTTTATTCCTCATGATAATAAAAGAATTCTAGAATGTTAGGAAGTTAAAATTACATGCAAATGAAAACAAATGGAAAACAAAGCAATGGATTCTACCTCTGATGAAAAAAATAGTAATCTCATACCGTTCTTGCGTTGATAGCAAATATTGTTTTCAGCCCACCTGCAATAAGGCAACTGAACATGGAACAGAAATCGTGATTAAAGTCCATAAGACTGTATCAGCTAACTTTCATGTCTAATTGCCTTATGCATGCTGGGCTAGTAACCAATATTTGAGAAAAAGAAAATGATATCAAATCTCTTCCTCACACTCAACATTTCATTACATGTAATCGAAGAGCCAATAGGTTTATACAGGCTTTTAGAAGAGTAAGCTTCTTCTCAATGAAGACAAGAAACATTGAAAAGCAAGGTCAATTTATAAAGGAACTTGTGTGGACCTTCAACTCCATCACTTAAAGTGGTGTCATGGCTAATAAATAAAGTCATGATAAAACATTTAAAGTTATTAATTTTATTTTTCTTCTCCTGAAAAGCTATTATTGTTTATTATTTAATGATTTGAGTTCTTTTTTAAATCATTAATTGACTTCCTTTAACATAACCACTCATTTAATATACTAATCTTTATTTTAAAAGTTATAAGGGCAATTAATTTGGCTAAGTGTAACAGATAGCGAGAATCAATGTATTTTATTTTAATAAATATATATTCATAGAGTGTTCATTTTAATGTTTTAAATATAAATAAAAAATACATGAAAAGTTAACATTAAATAAATATAGAGAAGAGGGGTTAAGTTACTCCAAGACTAACTTTTTTAAAATATTTTTTATTTTTATAATTTATTTTTTTAAGTCAAATGATTTCAATAAGTAATTAGTTTTAGTTTTAAGAAAATAGATAGCAAGAATAAAGAGTAACTATTTTATAATTAGTTTTCAGAAATGGATGATAAAGATAGTTAATTTCTTTAAATAATTACAATTAATTTGAATTAATTATTTGGTGGGGGTTACATTAATAATAAACTGTTATTTATAATCTATTGTTTGAAACCATTTTTTCTGTCTTGCAAGCTTGCACAAATTGAGTTTTATCAGTTACATATTTTTAATTAATTATTTGTGACTATTTAAAATATTTATCTACTATCCATCATGGGCACACCTTCGTAGAACTTCTTTTATCCCAATAAAATAGTAACTATACTTTTAAGGGAGCGAATTCATATGATAAATATATAAAATAATTATTTTATAAAGAATAGTATTAATTTTCATTTCATAGAATAACAAATGTTTAGATAAATTTAATATATGGTAATTATAAAATTATTGGGTCATATAAGTTTGTAAAATTTGGGTTAAAGCTAATGCAATAAAAAGAAGCCCGAAAATGCATTGGAGTGTAAAAACAAATATTGGTAGAGAAATTATTTATTTACTAAAGATAGAAAATGGATATAAATACTTTTTCTATCTAGTACAACTCCTGATGTATATTTATAAACATTTTATGCTCTGAATTTGTATATTTGTGGTATAGTATATTTATTTATTTATTAACTACTTTGCATTCAAGTAATTTTTTTTCCTTCTTCTTTTAATATGGTTTACTTCATAGATGGTATCATCAAGATTACGTAGTCTTAGACAACAAGAGCACAAAACTGCTGTCATTTGAGAAAACAAAAAATAGTACATTTAAGTAATAATTAAATATTATTTTCATAACATAATATGTAGACCTCATTGCAAACTTATTTTCTGCAATTATTTAATGAAATTATTCTTCGAGACAGCGAGAAAAAAGTGTTTTTTTAATAAAATAATATGCAATCTATATCTGTTTTTTTTTATTATTATTAAGATGATTAGTTATAAAAAAATATTTTTCTATTTATTTTAAGAATTCACTCCCTCGAATTTTATAGGCAACAAATAATTATTTTTCAGCAATATATATATGTGAAGGCGAGTTATAGGAGAAAGATATTTTAAACAATCATAATTAATTAATCAATTAGAAATGATAAATAAAGTTCAATAAATTAACCTTAACTTGAACATGAAAAATTGTTGATATTTTGGAATAAATTGTAATGTTTATCGTTTATTTTTATATTGATTAAGAGTGTTAATTAAGTTCATTAATATTTAAAAAAAAATAAGTTTATTTAATGTTCTTGATGTAGGAAAATATTTTTTTAAAACTAGTATTAAATTATATTATTCGGGCGATATATAGGTTTAAATATAAAAATAAATACTTTTAGAATAATAGCATTGAACTAAGTTAAAATGGTCGATTTTTTAAAAACTTAAATTTTCTAAAATGGTTAAACTTTTTTACATATTCCTGTTATAAAATTTGTATTTTTTATTATTTATTTATTTATTTATTTATTTATTATTATTATTATTATTATTATTATTATTATTATTATTATTATTATTATTATTATTATTATTATTATTATTATTATATTTGATATGTTAGAGGTGATTATAGAAATGTTAACTTAGTTGAGATGTGTAACGTTTTCATTAATATTTTTACACATTCATTTTTGCTAAAATAATATTCACTAAATATAATTTTTTTTACTTATATTTGATATTAAAGAAAACATGCTTATAAGGTATTTTAATTTAACTTTTTAACACTAATACGCAGTACTAGTTAACATCAAATAAGTATATTATTGTTTTGGTCTATTAGAAATGGTTACTAATTAATATATATATATATATATATATATATATATATATATATATATTGTTTTATTTATTTAAATAATTGCAAACAGTTAATGATGTGCAATAACTGTGTTTGAATTGAATTATCTGTAGGGATGATGACAAAAACCAATTATTATTATAAGCTATATTATATTGAAATAAATTGTAATGTTTAAATATGTTAGATAATAAAATATTTCAAGATAATTCATTTCTTTTTATCTATTTAATATAATTAAGTTTTATACTTTAAACGAACAAAAATTATACTGATACGGAGCTTGGACATTGACAATGGCAATAGAGTTAGGGTTTATTTTTCTCTGAAATTCAGGTAAAATTCAATGATTATATTTACGTGTGTTACTTTCCGGAATAAGAGTGTTTTTATTTTATTTTTACAAAAAAATAATGAATAAATAATGAAATTGGTATATTTAGTAGCAAACAGTGGTGAGAATAAGGTTAAACCAATTTAACAATAAGTTTGTTTGGTAGGAGTAGGAGTAGGAGACCGATTAGCACAAACTCATAGAGGCCCAACACATAGAGAAGATAAGGGGTGTGAGATTATATATTTGATTTTTAAACTAAATATTAATCCACGTAAAAAAAGAAAATTTGTGTAGTTTGAAATATAATAATTAGAGTTTATTTGATTCAGTTTTTTATTTAGTTTTTTAAAAAAGTTTTAGAAATAACTTAAAAGAATTTTTGTATTTAATAAATTGAAAAAAGAAACTCATTTAATAATTATAATTTTTTTTTTGTAGGAAAGAGTATGACATTGAAAGTTATAAAATGTGAAAGAACATTTAAAAAATATATTTTATTATTTTTTTTTATATCTAATTTTTAAAAATTGAATAACAAAAATAATTCTTAAAAAGAATAACAAAATAATTACTATATGAGTAATTGGTTTTTAAAATTAAAATATATTTTTTTAAAAATAAAATATTGACGTTGAATTTGGATTAAAGATTGGAGGTAATAGAATATATATATATATATATATATATATATATATATATATATATATATATATATATATATATGTATGTATGATGAGAGAGAGAGAGAGAGAGAGAGAGAGAGAGAAATAAAATAAAATAAGGAGAATGATTATGAAAAATAAAATTGATTTGATTAATTAAAATACTATTGTATTCATTTCAATTAAATATATTTATTATATTAATGTTTTTTATTTAATTATTATTATAATAAGTTTTATAAAATATTAAAAAGTTAAGACATAATACCTTAAAGAAGAAAGATAACAAAGAAATTGTTGATCGATGCATTGTTTTATTTAACTTAAAAATAATAATAACATACTTCTTATATAATTTAAATCTATAGACCACGAGTTAAATATGTTAAATAAAATGACTTAATTTAATTTAATTTTTATTATAATTTAACTTATTTACAAAATTTTAAGTAAATCCGTAT